GAACTGTCATCACTTTTACTGGTGAGGTCTAGTGCTCCTCTCCCACTTTGGTTTCTACCTTTTGAAAATGTCAGTGAACGTTTGCACATACCTGTTTCTTGTTCTCGTTGGTCTTTCAGTTGGAAAGACTTCGAATCATGCGATAGTTCTTGCCCAGCTCATCACTCAGGGGAAGTGCTACGGCTTACATGCCTTCATTGTACCTATCCGTGAAATCGGGACCCATAATCCTTTGCCAGGTAAGAGTCGTTCCTCCAATACTAAGATGAAAAGTTCATCTGATGAGAGTGCAATGTGCAGCTGAAGACCTTGGGGGGAGGGGTGTGTGTGTCAGGAATTCCAGAACTCAGTACCTTGCGATTTCATCTGTGGCAGGTATTACTGTTGGAGACATCGGCCCCAAATTTGGTTATGATGAGATGGATAATGGCTACCTGAAGATGGACAACTATCGCATTCCCAGGGAGAACATGCTGATGAAGCACGCCCAGGTACAGGGACAGACCCGTCAGTCGCGGGTGTCTCCGTGGCTGCTGCTGACCACAGGGGTAGGTGGGCGCTGCTCTGTTAGGAGGCAGCAACAGAGCACACCTTCCGCTGCTGCTTCTGTGCGGTAGTGCAGGCGGAGGCAGTGGGCGGTGGGAAGAAGGAGACCAATGGTTCTCACGCTTCAGCTGCGTTACAGTCACGGGAGCGTTCATTAAGGCAGAGCTCACCGGGCCCACCCAGAGCTTCTGACTCATTAGCTTAGGGCAGGGACAGAGGTTGTGTTCCAAGGAAGTTCCCACCTGATGCTGATGCTGTTGTGCTGGGGGCCATGCTTTGAGAGCCACTGGCCTGACCTCCCGCTTGGCTTCATCAGAGCAGCTTCAGTGCCATGTCACTCCTGCAGGTGAAGCCCGACGGCACGTACGTGAAGCCCCTGAGTAACAAGCTGACCTACGGGACCATGGTGTTCGTCAGGTCCTTCCTTGTGGGTGAGGCTGCGCGGGCTCTGTCTAAGGCGTGCACCATTGCCGTCCGGTACAGCGCTGTACGGCACCAGTCTGAGATCAAGCCAGGGTAAGTGGGCCGAGGAGGGGCCGCTGAGGGCCTGGCTTCATCCCAGTTCAAATCTCACCATTCCCAGGTGGGGTAGAGCGGATGGATTGACTGTGCAGGAGTTAGGTTGGCAGTGTACGGGGCCTGCTACTGAAGATCGAGGCTTCTTAAGGGGCACCTTCTTTATAACCTGAGCAGAACAGTAGTAACGACAGTCACTTGAGCTCTAGAAGTGAATGTTCAGAACTCTCAAGGCAGTTTGTGAATTCTGATTACTCCTGACAACTGCAGATTGAGCAGCGGGACGGTGGCATCCAGGGTGATTCCCTTTTGTGTTTGGGGCCGGGTTTATTTCTGCTGCTGTCTTTACTTGGGCAGGACTCTGGTGAGCTCTTCACTCTCACAGAAGGAGAGAAGTTGATAGGGGCGACCTTTGATCTCATTCTTACACTTCACAATATTTAAGTCTTGTTCTCCTCCAAAACTGTGGTTGGAATGTGGTTTACTCAGCCCTTTACTGTCTCCTTCTGCCTGTGAAGTTAGCACTCTTTACTGTCTCCTGCCTTTGGTTTTGTATGTTGCTGTGAGATACATTCTCCTCAGTCATCCTGGAAAGATCAGAAAGGTAGGGATTTCATGGCTAGAAAGTTCTGCCTGCCTAAAGCAGTACACGTGGTTAAGAGGGTGGTTGTTGGAGCCAGACAGCCTAGATTTCAGTCAAGGATCTGCTGGTTACACCCCTTGTGACCGTAGGCAGGTTCTTAGCCTCTCAGTGTCCCCCTCTGTAAAATGGGGATAATAAGAGTAGCTACCTCACAGGGTCTTTATGAGGATTAGATAATTTAGTATATATAGAATGCTTAGACTAGAGCCTGGCACTTAGTAAGTTTTATGTAAGTATTTGTTCATGTTTTTCATTTTCTACATACTGTAGTGAGCCAGAGCCACAGATTTTGGATTTTCAGACCCAGCAGTATAAGCTCTTCCCACTCCTGGCCACCGCCTATGCATTCCAGTTTGTAGGCGCGTACATGAAGGAGACTTACCACAGGATCAATGAAGGCATCGGCCAAGGGGACCTGAGCGAGCTGCCTGAGGTATGCATTTGGTCTCTTTCATCCACGAGGGCCCTCCTGTTTCACATTTGCCTGTTGAATGAGGTCCACAGAAAACCCGGTGACGGGCTTTCCTGCAAAGAACCCATGTGTCTCCAGAGAGTCATGACGTTTTCTGATTAAAAGTGGGGTGGATGTGGTTTTGTGGGTTTTTTAAGTTTCAGATGTATGTCAAAGTATATTGGTCATCTGTCAATCAAAGGAACATAAGGGATGACTTTATTGCTGAGTAGGCTGTTAGAAAGCCATGCTTCTTTAGTGTATAGGTGGGACAGGTGACGTCAGAGTGACTAGTGCTCTTACAGGAGGCTGTTTTCTCGTTAGAATGAGGACTTTGGCCGTCACAGTTGTTCTGACAGCCTCGGCCCTTTCCCTTTCAGCTTCATGCCCTCACCGCCGGGCTGAAGGCTTTCACCTCCTGGACCACTAATGCTGCTATCGAAGCGTGCCGGATGGCTTGTGGTGGGCACGGCTATTCTCACTGCAGTGGCCTCCCCAACATTTACGTCACTTTCACCCCCACCTGCACGTTTGAGGGGGAGAACACGGTCATGATGCTCCAGACGGCGAGGTGAGAATCTGATCGATGGCTTGTCTCTTCCTGAGAAGGCGTGAGTCCTCCCAGGCTGCTACTCCACGTTCTCCCTTCATACTCCCCTTCTTCCTAAAGACAGTTTTGCCTTCCATCCTGACCCACTGTTTTAATCTCATGGTCAGACTAGAGTGTGTGGAACACCTGTCACGGAGCTTAAAGTCCCCTTGAGTTTAGTTCATTTCCGTTTCATAAGAAGCACCATTACTGAAAGCACGTGTACTGATGACGTTTAGGTTCCTCATGAAGAGTTATGATCAGGTGCACTCAGGAAAGCTGGTGTGTGGCATGGTGTCCTACCTGAACGATCTGCCCAGTCAGCGCATCCAGCCACAGCAGGTGGCCGTCTGGCCTACCGTGGTGGACATCAACAACCCCGACAGCCTAACTGAAGCGTATAAACTCCGTGCAGCCAGGTGATCTCAGCCTTCAGAGCTCAGGGAGGCAGCTGTGGGGCCTGTGGGAGACGAGGGGGCAGCTGTGGGGCCAGGGGCCTATGGGGGAGGGAGGTGTGTGGGCAGAGGGTCATTTCCTCGTGGCACAAGTTGTCTTTCATTTCTTAACAGATTAGTAGAAATTGCTGCAAAAAACCTTCAGGCTGAAGTGATTCACAGGAAAAGCAAGGAGGTGGCGTGGAACCTCACTTCCGTTGACCTCGTGCGAGCGAGTGAGGTTGGTGGTCACGACCTCTGGTTGTCCTGCACAGAAATCCCCACCCTGGGTCCTGACTCTGCCTCTCAGGGGCCTCACACTGTCTTCTTTTATCTAGGCACACTGCCACTATGTGGTAGTTAAGCTCTTTTCAGAAAAGCTCCACAAAATTCAAGATGAATCCATCCAAGCTGTTTTAAGGAATTTGTGCCTTTTGTATTCTCTGTTTGGAATCAGTCAGAAGGCTGGGGACTTTCTTCAGGTCAGTAATGTCTTAAGTTTTAAGCCCTAAGTTGTTGTTTTTCTTTTTTTTTTTTTAATAGAAAGCCAATTGTGTGCTGGTTCGTAGTAGTGTGATCATATGTGGCTGTTATTTAATATGTTTATGTATGGTGTTTGGATTCTTACAGGGGAACATCATGACAGAGTCTCAGATGACCCAAGTCGACCAGCGGATAAAGGAGCTGCTGATGGTGGTCCGTCCCGATGCGGTGGCTCTGGTTGACGCCTTTGATTTTCAAGATGTGACACTTGGCTCTGTGCTTGGCCGCTACGACGGGAATGTCTATGAAAATCTGTTTGAATGGGCCAAGAAATCCCCACTGAACAAAGCAGAGGTAACAGATCAGTGCTTTGTCTGTGAATTAGAAACGGTATTGAGCCATAGCCAGGGCTGTCTCCAGGTAGTGGAATGACAGTAGATTTGTGTGTCAGGGTGAGGGTGTGGGGTGAGAGGGTGTTTGTTTGAGTCTATATTTACCAAATTGTCTACATTAAACTGCTAACAATACTATTTTGTCAGTAAATATAAATGTGAGTAAAACTAGTAAATATGGAGTAAGTAAATAAAATGATTTTGGAAAATCAGTGTGTTTCTCAACTTTTGAAAGTCTTCATTTAAATATTAAGTCAGGTAAGACTACCAATAAAGGATCCACCCATGAAAGCTTTAAAAGCGCTTGTCATCTCTTTGTTGGAATGCCAGGTTCAGGAGGAGGCTGGGCCATCTGCATTCGGCAGGTTTTCAGTTCTCTTGAACATTAGTAACTAACTGAATACTTTCCAACACCTACACAGAGACCATGCCAGTCTGCACCCCAGGGTCCTTGGGTCGAGCTTCAGCAGCGGTCAGCTCGTGGCCAGGCTGTGCCAGCTCCTCGAGTCAGGATCCAAATGAGCTCCAGACAGTTTCTTGACTCACAGCCATTTGAAACTGTAGGCTCTGCTTACAGTGATCTCTCCTCCCTTCTCTGTAGGTCCACGAATCGTACTACAAGCACCTGAAGCCCCTGCAGGCCAAGCTCTGAGTCTCACTAGCAGCACCGAAGCCCCTGCAGTCCCGTCCGGAACCACGATGATGCGTTTGATCTGCTCCGAGAGGCAGCACTCGTACCTGACACACACGCCTAGATAGGATCACCATTGATTTCAGACAGCTATAGAGAAAATGATCGATTGACCCCTTCCCTCTTTTAATGAATGAAGAAAAAAAAGCAGATTACAAATTTTAGAGATTGGATGGAAAATGAATGTGTTTTAAGTGCAATTAACACTGAGAGAGCCCCTGAGCATTCAGACAAAGCTTTAAGAAATGCAGTGCGGCTTCCCTTCGTGCTGCTGCTGATCTCGGTAGATAATTAGCAGAATGTAACTACTACGTAGTTAATAATTTTCAGGTTTAATTGCTAATCACTGACTATGTAAGTTTTTAAGCAAAGGTATTTTTTAAATGGGATAGACCCTTCTCGGCTTTCCTGCTAAAGTCCTCCCCTCCTACCACGGGGCGTAGCCTATAGGCAGGGCTGAAGAAATGAGACTGGGGGACAGAAACTAATCAGGAATCTTAACGTGGCGAGTTTGTACTTGACAGGTTTTCTGCCTGCTTGCCTGCCTTTGCCGACATTGCTCTCATCTGACTGTTCACACTAATGTTTTTCTGAAGCAAGAACTTCTTCAATACAGATCTACTGCAGGACCATTGTCTCTTGTAATCAGGAATAGAGCTTTCATACAGAGGGTCCCTAAATTGTCACTTCAGTGGACGCTGCTGTCACTTCATGACCTAAGTGACTGGGTTTCCCAGGGTCATTCCGATTCCAGAAATCTGTCATCTCGGCTTATGCCATTGAAGTGCTCGAAGGTTATAGTATTGGGCATTAAAAAAAATAAAAAGCCTTTCACCTCTGACACCCAGAAACAGCACAATCCTTTACAAACTATGCGTTCTGGCTTTTGGTTTAGAAAATATAATCATTGAAACTGTGGCTGAAAGGGTAAAGGAGGCTCCACGGAGTCTGTTTCTTACTGTATGCCCGTCTTTGTTTTCAAACATCTTCAGTTTTGTTTATTTGTTTCTGGGAGCTTTTTCTGAATTGCTTAAGTGTCCTTTCTGTTGAAGTCTAATTGACACAATCATTCTATATTTAAAGGTAAAACATATACCTCCTAATTGATTGTTTTCCTTAAAATCAATGTAAAGCAATGCAAGCCACTTGATTTTTTTTTTTTTTTTTTTTTTTTAACTGTATCTATGACATCTGCCTCATGAAACCAGTTGTTCTGGATTCAGACTTGACAGTATAGTCTGGTCCGTAGCAGTGTAATATCTTGATCACCGTATGCTCCTGTCCTGGGGCCTGACATCAGACCTGTTCCAGTGCGACTGGTAATATGAAGCCTTCGGTTACAGCAAAAATACTGCGTACAACACAAGCCTTAATCTTTCCATCAGGAGCAGTGACTGATGATTATGTTAAGATTGAGGTAGGAGGTACTCCGTCTTCATCTCATTGGGACATCGCTTAACAGTCATTCAGATTCTGGGAAGTAACTAAATTTAAATGATTTACTACCGACCAGTTCAGTGTAGAATTCTTTGACATTTAGGGGTTAAATACCTCGTTCACAGGTAAATGATCTGTGGGCAGGATCTGAAGGTGTGTGAAGGGACACCGCCTTACCCTGTGGCACAGTTGAGATCTTACATGTTTGAAGAAGATGCGATGGAGCCACCTTCCATCCAACACCTTGAGTTTAATGGAAAAACGAATCTGACGTTTAACACTGTTGTCATTAAGGTTGGAATGTTCTGTCTTGAACTTAATGTAATCAAAGAATAAAGATAAAAGTAAAACCTCACTGATTTGAATATTAAGAGACAAATAGTGTGCCACGGTATTAAACCTAAGTTTAAATTGTGAAGAATTTTAAAATGTAGATTTATTAGGTATCAGTAACACAAAGAACAAGAACAGGAGTGAGGCTGCCTGAACAGATCGCTGTAAAGCAGCTGGAGTTGCCTCTTGGAATGTGGGCTGCTGCTGTGGCTGTAGGAGGCCTTGGCTCGTGGTAAACCAGCAGCAGACCCAGTTGGTTTTCCCTGACAGGCCAGCCTTGGCAGCAGACACGTTTGGTCTGCTTGAGCTCTCTCGCAAAAGCATCTTCACAAAAGGTGCAAAGATAAATTTCAACCCAGTTTCCTCCAAAATGATGATAAATGCTGAGTAGAATTAATGAGGTTTTTCTATATGATGAACTTTTGGTAGCTAGTAAGACAGAAGCCTTTCTTAAAGAGTGCTCTGAGCAGAAACAAAACTGAAGATGTGATTTGGTTCCTTGTAATGGGTGAAGGGGGATTCGTCTTCCTCCAGTGTTTGGAGCGCTCCTGCAGGCTCTCCTAGACACACTGAGGTGTGTTTCAGTGTTGGGACATTAGTGACCTCAAAGCACCATCGGTTCAGAAGCCTTTGGAGGACCTTAATGTTCCTACCCTCAGAACATAACAAGGCTAAATACTGTTTTTTTCCTCAGAACATTACCTTATTTGCAACATTTTTATGTTCATAGGCTTTCTAAGAACTCACCGCTTGCAGCTTCAGATTTCATAGCCTGGAGGGGTTTCAGTAGTTCCTGAAGTTAACATGTTAGATCTTAACTCTTAGGTTTCCTCAGTGTGGGGCTTTGGCTGGAGAAATACCGCTTCTGGAATTCACAATCCTGGGGACCCATAATTCTTCAGACAACTGCGGCTTCCCTCAGTACCTCCTCCACTTTGCTGAGGTCCTCCCATCCGTCTTAGTAGGAAGGAAGGGAGTTAGATGCAGACTGTCTGTGACACTGCTCATGTTTAATGTACGTGGCAGGTAGGCGTGGGGTCACAGGTTGTCTTCGGGCAGTAGCTGCTCCTACAGCTCGAGCAGCGCCAGGAAATTGGTTCTTCCGTCGGAGACCAACATGCTTCGTAGATCATTTTTATGGAATAAGGCAGGGAGATAATTTCAGCTAGTTAAACAATTGCTACCTTCTTGGATTAGACCAAGCCACGCTGTGACTATTTGGGCCTTTGCTTTCAGCTGTCCGAATGTATTAAAATATGTCGGTACCTATTCTAGTGGCCCCTGCTAGTAAACATAGAACCCTATAAAGAACCATTGGGATTGCCAGATGTGAGCTGTCACAGATCATGAACAAGTTCTAGCTTCCAAGGGTTTCTTTGTTTTGTATTGTTTTGTTTTTACCTTAAATTTAAGTGGGCCATTGATTTTCTTGGGAAGACGGAGGAAAATTGAGAGTGATTTAAGAATTCTGAACCAAAATAAGCTGTTTACTACGATACCATTAACTTTACTAAAATTTTGGTAGCAAATATGTGAACTGTGTAATACTCAGAAGGCTGACTACTTTGTAAACACTACTTTTTCCCAACTGCTGTGGTTTCCATGAACATGACTTGTATCCTCTGGAGATAGACTTGCTTAGCGACTTTTCTTCTCGCTGTTGTGGTTTGAGTGTGGGCCCTATTGGAACAAGCTACATTTAGCATGTATTGTTACCCCCTCCTGGCTGGGCTCATACCGTGCGGCCGGGCGTGCCTGGGATATGCCCGGGCCAGAGCATGTCAGGCGGCCCGCGAAGACCCACCCGCCAGCACGCCTTGGCCAGCGGGTAAGCCAACCACTAACTCCCTTCCTTTGTGAAACTGAGTAACCCTTAATAAAATCTGTATTTAGCACACACAGGAAGTGTTCGTGTCATTTTGTCGGGTTCTGGAGTTAATTCTAGCTTCGCAGCTTTGATTTTGTTAATTGAACAGGAAAGTTACAGGTGAACCTTTCAATTTTAACACATTTCTCACCGCCGCGCCCCCCTGCCCACCCGAGTCAGCCCTCGAAAGGGGACAGAAGAACTTTCAGTGTTCCGTCTTGGAGCCCAGTTCCCAGCATTCGTCCCGGAAGGGACAGAGGGAGAAGGCGACTAGACTGCAAAAAGCGCTTCTTCCCGAGGCGGCTTCGAGTCAGCTCCTCCTGGCAACTCGTGGGGCAGAGGACAGAGGCCCCGTCCCGGCTAACGGCCGCGGCCGGGCATCCTGGGAAATGTAGTTCATCTCAGCATCCTCGCTCCCTTGGGTCCTGTGGGTGGGCTGACTACGGACTACAACTCCCAGGATGCCTCGCTTTTCTGCGAGAGGTCGGCGTCCGCAGCGCTCGGAGGCGGGAGGCCTGACCCAACCGCGCTCGGATGGAGGCGGACTGACTGCTGTGGCTGCGGCAGCCCCCAGTGGCCGCACCTCCTGGGGGAATGGCGCGTAACGGGGAGCTTCTGGGGCTGGGTGGGTAGATGCTGCGCTCGGGATCGAGATAGGCTGGGTGCGCGCAGTGGTGACGCATAGAGGGGCGCGGAGTCTCGGGAACGAGGGAGTGTTTGGCAGACCCCTTACCAAGGGGCGGGGGCGTGATTTCAAGAAGGCCTGACATGAAGTTAGCGGAGTAGATGAGACGACGCGATAGTAGTCTGTGGCCTTTTGAACTTTGCAGAACCCCAAAACCCACTGCTGCTCCATTGATTCAGACTCATAGTGACCCTGTAGGACAGTAGAACTGATGCATCAGGCTTCCAAACCTGTAATCTTTAGTTGTTGTTGTTGTTATGTGCCGTTGAGTCAAACACGACTCATAGCGACCCCTCCTTGGGTTTCCGAGGCAGTATCACTACGGAAGTAGGATTGCCCAACCTTCCTTCCGAGGAGTGGCTGGTGGGTTTGAACCGCCAGCCGTCTGGTTAGCAGGCAAGTGTCTTAGCCACTATGCTACCAGAGCTCCCCTCTTTAGTTAGGGAAGAGGATTGCCACATTTTTCTCCCATGAAGCAGCTGGTGGGTTTGAACCGCCGACGTTTCGATTATCAGCCAAGCGCTTTAACCACTGCGCCAACAAAGTCTTTGGCCTTTGTGAACCACTCAGGAAATCACCGCGGTTTGGGAAAATGGGGCAGGATCCCTTTGGATAGGATAGGAGATGGCAGAAATGTCTTGATGTTAGGAGACACACGCTGTTTGGACTTGTCATGAAAGTTGCTGTTACAGAGAACACACTCAGTGTGTGGCCCTTGGATGTCCCCCCAGATAAACTTTGATTCTAGTAACAGGACAGACAAACACCTGAGAAATAAGAGATGACCCTCCCCGACTCCTTCCAGGGCATACCAAAGGTTTTTTAGTGAAATTGGGGGTGGGTATAATTCTGAGGAAAACTGTTGTCTGTAATGAGAGCAGTCAGATTGAGTTAGTGTGAAAGGGAAACGTTCTACTGAGCATAGTGCCTAAGACATTTGAGTGGTAACCAGAAAGTTGGTGGTTCAAACCCACCAGCCACTCTGCAGAAGGAAGACTGGGCAATCTACTTCCGTAAAGATTTACCTCTTTGGAAACCCAAAGGGGGTCACTATGAGTTGGAATGACTTGATGGCAGTGAGTTTATCAGTGAAAATAGTGTGAAGGAGGAACCAGAGCCCAGTGGACACCCATGTGGATTGCTATCTAGAAAGGAGTCATGGATGTAGCCTGGGAAGGCATATCTGCCATGGTGCCAGGCACCCACCTCCTTTCTGAAATGGATACCTACCTGCCATTTTCCTCATCCTCTTTCAGAACAAGGGATGAGGACCACTGCACTTCATGGCAATAATCTGGATGCAGGCCTCAGAAAACTTACTCTGTTACCCAGAGCACTTTGCTTCTCATTGGAATTGCACCCCCCGCCCAATAAGAAGTGTTTAGCTTGTGGAAACGGGTTTTGACGTCTTGATTGGGTAAAGTGGGAGAAGCCTTGTTAGGCCTTGGACTCGTACGCTATTAAAACCACATCATTTTTAAGCAACCACTTCATTTTCTTCATCAGGTGAGGAGGGGCCTGATGTGGGTGGAAGTTGAGTGAGCTGCACAGTGCTGGGAAGCGGCCCAGAGCTCCAAGATGGTAGGTAGCATGCAGAGGAAGATGTATGGAAGTGTGGCCTCTTCGCCCCCCAGATCTTGCCTGTATGCAGTCATTTGGAGGGTGGGAGATAAAGACCAGGATGTGGTCCCTGGAAGAGAGTAGCGGAAAGTATGGTGGATCCCAGAGTTCGTTAAGCAATTAGCAAGTGTTTCTTCCCAGCTCCCGGATGTCCAGCTGAAAACATTTTTAAGTGTCTGTCATTGGGATTAAGGAGTCAGGTGCACAGGAAGGAAGAAAAGGTGAACTGTCACGTATGTTACATCTTGGCTGGAAGGGGCCGTGTGGCATCGTGAAGTCAGGGAAAAGGAGGCACTTCTTCTCTGCACTCTATGGTACTCACAGAATACGACAGTGAGACCATTCCCAGAAACGCTAGGAGAGCGTGAAGGACTTGTGTCTAAAATGCCACCGGGGCTCCTTTGCTTCTGGTGACTTGGTGACTTGGCAAAAGGCAAGACCATTCACTCTGCATTCCCAGCCTTGTTTCCTCTGTTTCAGCACACTTTTCACATTTTTATTTTGTCAATATGGTTTTGTTTTTCCCATTTTAGGCAGCAAAAAACAAGGGATTAAAAGGTAAGTGGGAAAATGGAGACTCACCTTTAAGCCGTATGAGTGTGTGTGCGTGTGTGCCTCCCCAACCCCAGCTCCAAAAATAATTTAGAATTTGGTGTCTTAATGTTCTTGGTGAGAGTCTTGCTGTTTTTCCCATAATTCCATAGGCAGCCTTGGTTCTTCCTTATGCTCCTTCATTGCCTTCAGAGTAATACAGAAATAATTAAGGGATGAGACTTTGGGGAAGATCCTTCTTGTTGGGTTCTGTATCCAGAAGCAGGTGGTTGAACCATAAATCAGTAGGCAGCCACTCAGGGGTTGTGATCAGCAATACCTGCATTTTCTTTTTAGTCTGTTATGTGAAGCTTTATTCCAATTACTTTTCATAGAATGACATATTTTGCATAATTTTCTGGACAAGAAGGAACGTAGAGAAACTGTCCCTGCAATCAGTCCCCAATGGTTGTGTTTTTAAACCAGACTGGAATTTCTGCAGACGAGTGCTGGGAGGCCGGGCTTCATTTGTGTTAGACATGCTGTAGCCGAAACCATGTTTCTTTTGAACACTAGTTTAAAGCTCTGTGTAAAAATGCCTGCTGCTGACAGCACAGAAGAGCAGGAGCGGCCTCAAGCACGGTATAGCTGCTCTCCTAATGTCTGTTTATCACGTAGTCGCCTTCTGTTGTGCATTTCTCTCTCCAGAGGGTTTGTGCTGGCAGTGCCAGAGAGGTCCTTCACTTCCACGGTGCAGAAAGAACGAGGACTGCACCTCCTTGTCCACTTCCACTTCAGTATTTCAGTGAATATGGATGTAAACTATAGAAACATGTAAATCTGCAGCTTTAACAACCCGAATACAACCTTTTGAGTTAGTTACATGTATGTTGTTAGATTGCAATATTGAATATGGGTAAAATGTTGAGTGATGTGGGAAACATCAGAAGAAGATGGAAAGAGTACACACAGTCACTGTACGAAAAAGAATTGGTCGATGTTCATCCATTTCAGGAGGTGGCATATGATCAAGAACCATTGTATTGTAGGAAAAAGTCAAAGCTGCACTGAGGGAATTGGTGAAGACAAGGCTCCAGGAATTGACGGAATATGAGGTATCAACAATATCAACAAATGGATGCTGCACTGGAGGCGCGTATTCGGCTGTGCTAAGAAATTTGGGAGACAGCTACCTGGCCAACTGACTGGAAGAGATCCATATTTGTACCCATTCCAAAGAAAGGCAATCCCACAGAATGTGGAAATTATCAAACAATATCATTAATACTGCATGCATCGCTGAAGATAATTCAAAAATGGTTGTAGCAGTATATTGACAGAGAACTTTCCAAAATGCAAGCTGGATTCAGAAGAGGACATGGAATGAGGGATATCAATGCTGATGTTAGATGGATCTTGGCTCGAAGCAAAGAATACAAGAAAGATGTTTACTTGTGTTTTATTGACTATGCAAAGGCATTGAATTGTGTGGATCATAAGAAATTATGGATAACGTTGAGAAGAATGGAAATTCCAGAACAGTTAATTGTGCTCATGAGGAACATGTACATAGACCAGGAGGCTGTTTGAACAGAGCAAGGGGATACTGCATGGTTTAAAATCAGGAAAGGAGTGCATCAGGGTTGTATCTTTTTGCTGTACTTATTCAATCTGTATGCCGAGCAAATAATCTAAGAAGCTGAACTATATGAAGAAGAGAGTGCCATCAGGATTGGAGGAAGACTCATTAACAACCTGCGATATGCAGATGGCACAACTTTGCTTGCTGAAAACAAAGATGACTTGAAGCACTTATTGATGAAGATTAAAGACACTAGTCTGCAGTATGGATTATATCTCAATATAAAGAAAATGAAAATCCTTACAGCTGGACCACTAAGCAGCATCATGATAAATGGAGAAAAGATTGAAGTTGTCAGTGATTTCATATTATTTCCACAGTCAGCACCAATGGCAGCAGCAGTCAAGAAATCAGACGTCGTATTGCATTGGTCAAATTTGCAAAAGACTTCTTTCAAGTACTCAAGAGCAAAGATGTCTCCTTGAAGACTAAGGTGTGCCTAACCTAAGCCATGGTATTTGCAGTCACTTCATATGCCTGTGAAAGCTGGACAATGAATAAGGAAGACTGAAGAAGAGTTGATGCCTTTGAGTTGTGGTGTAGACGAACAATACCGAAAGTACCATGGACTGCTAAAAGAACACATCTGTCCTGGAAGAAGTGCAGCTGGAATGCTCATTGGAAGTGAGAATGGCCAGACTTTGTCTCTCCTACTTTGGTCATGTTGTCAGAAGAGACCATTCCCTGGAGAATGATGTCATGCTTGGTAAAGTGGAGGGTCAGCGAAGAAGGGGAAGACCCTCAACGAGATGGATTGACCCAGTGGCTGGAGTGATGGGCTCAGGTAAAGCAAGGCTCGTGAGGCTGGCACAGGATCGGGCAGTGTATCGTTCTGTTGTACACAGGGTCGCTATGAGTCGGAGCTGACTCGATGGCACCTGACAACAACAGCGTGTTGATCCCGACTCTTAGCAGCCCCACCTGACAGTGTTGGACTGATCCGTAGGATGCTCTTAGCCATTGTCTGTGGAGCCAGAGCACCCAGTGTTTGTCCCGTGGAGCTGCTGGGTGGGTTTGAACCACCAATCTTTCAGTTGGCAGCTGAGCGCTTAACTGTTGCACCACCAGAGCTCCTAAATTGTGTCCAGATGAATTCTTCATTAAAGAAAAAGAAGCAGACAGTTGAAGTTAAGGGTAGTAACGGCACTTAAACTAGATGCAAGTACTGATTCAGTATTTATACTTCACCCTCATCAGAAAGTAAGCAAGGAGGTTAGCATCCAGACCAGTCATGGAAGGTCTTGGATAGAAGGAAGGGTACAAGGAGCTTGTATGTGCCCAGAGGTCTTGGACACTTTTCCCAAAGGAAAAGCCACATCAGGCTTTGTCCAGAGTCTAGAGGACAGCCAGTGGCTGGTGTGTCACGGGGAGGCACGGTGAATGTGGGGTATACTGAAAGTCTTCACCGTCATTCCTTGAAAAAGTTGTGTTTAATTTCTGTCCTGGGATATTTCAACTGTGTAGTATGATTTGTTACCAGTGAGTTAGAAAACATCGTGACCAGTGAAGGGAAAGTTAAGTCCCCAGTTTGAGAGCTCTGAAATCATGGCAGCTCCTTCTGTTTCAGGCTCCATTGATGATGTCCTTGGTGACCTCTTGGGGGATGATAGTAAGTATCCCTGGTTTAGGCTTGTTCTTTCTTTCTTTCTTTTTTTGAGTTGATATATAATTTGCATACCACAAAATTAGCGTTTGAAAAAAAAAAGTGTACAATTCAGTGGCTTTTAGTATCATCACTGTGCTGTGCAACCAACATCACCATCTAATTCCAGAACATTCTCATCACCCCAAAAAGAAGCCCTGGACACGTTAGCAGTCAGACTGATAATTGGGTTATTTTCTTTGTCTTGTTGAGTTGTAAGAGTTCCTTTTATATTCTGGATAAACCAAAAACTAAACTCACCACCATCGAGTCAATTCTGACTCATAGTGACCCCCAGTGGGTTTCTGAGGTGGTAAATCTTTATGGAAGTAGATTGCCCCATCTTTCTTCCACGGAGCAACTGGTGGGTTTGAACTGACAAACTTCTGGTTAGCAGTCGGATGCCTTAGGCACTGCACCACCAGAGCTCACCCCTTATCCTTTGTGTCTGTGTCTGCTGTACTGAGGAGCAAGACTTTAGGGTCACCATGGCCAGTGAGGCTTAGACCTCCTTCACTTGGCCTGGGAGAACCCACAAAGCACAAGTCCATGTATACCAACCTACAGTTTGGGGAGTGGAAGTGACATTGTTCTTGCAGCATTTCCATGGGGTGGGGTGGGGTGGGGTGGGGTTCTTCATTTGGCACCATTTGGCATTTAGGGTCATGCTCGGAGATGTACCACTCCCTGTGCATTCAGGCTTTTTGAGGACCTCTCTGTGGGGCCAGCTTCCTTCCTCCAAACAGGTCCTTCTTTCAGCAGGAAGGACTGGGAGACAGCTTGGTGGGGCACCTGGGATCCTTCTCCCCTTGACTCCAGCTCTTTAGTCAAATCACACCTTTTCTGTTTCCTTGTTTTCCAGTGGCCTTACCTGAGAAGCCTGTAGAACTAGCTCCACGAGCCCGAGACACCACAGGCGGATCTCAGGTGTTTCCTCCTTCAAGGGCTGGAGCAAAGTAAGCCCTGCTCCGTGTCCGTCCCCACGCACCTGGCCCTCCACAGCCCCACCCTCACTGAGCGGATCCCCACTTTGGATGTCGCCGATCTCCACCCCCTTCCCTCAGCTCCTGGTCACTGATGGAGCCTGGGGTGGTGGGAAGAGAACTGGAGTCCGGCACAGAGTCCTACCTCTGTTGCCCTCTGTGTGACCTTAGGCAACTTTCTCCACATCTCTTGGCCTCAGTCTCCTATTCCTCAGACAGGAGGCTTGGACTAGGTCAATGGTTTCCAAACTGCTTGTTCTGCGGTTCTCACGATGGGGGAGAAACGGGAAGAGCTTGCGAGTTCTCGACCCTTCACCTTTGTTGTAGCTAAATTTGCTTTGTCTTCCTTTCTTACCTGGTTTTGAACAGTTTGTTCTTAAAGGGGTTCTATTGCTTTGAAGACATTGGACACCACTGCGTGAGGTGCCCTGTGAAATTCCTTTTAGCGACTGTGTTCCCCCAGGGAAGGGTCTCCCTAGGCCCCTAAATCTAAGCCGCTCTCCCTCAGAATCATCGACTGCTGCCGGGGACACCGGCGGGGCTGATCTTGTCACTTTGCAGGTCCCTTCTGGAAGGTGATTTCCTCAGCCCTGTGGCCGGCCTGGCAGGAGCTGACGAGGTGAGCCTGGCCTGTTCCCAGTCCCTTACCCTTCTTCGTCATCCCCAGGAACAGGAAGCTGGCCGTTGTAGCCAAGAGGCTAGTCACGGAAGGGTTCACAAGTCCGGTACAGAGCCGGCTCTTAAAGCAGGACCCAGACTGCAGGGTATTCCTCCTCCCTCCTGCAGGTAGGATGCGCGGGAAAGCAGATCCTGGGCACAGCGGCATCTGGGATCTTGGCCTTCTTCTGAGTGTGCTACTGATACGCTCTACACAGTCCGTCCCGTGGGTGGCAGGTCGCCTGATGGGAGTGCCTGGATGGAGGCGGTCTCTCCACTGGGGAGGCAGCAATTTCTGGGTCCCCACACCTGGGCAGCTTGGGCTTCAAGCGGCAGACTGGTCCCACTTGAGGCAGACAGGGACCCTGCTGTTTATGCCCCATTGGCCGAGCTGGCTCCATCCTCACAGAAGCAAGGGGGCCCTGGACTGCAGCCCTGAGCGCGGCTGGGCCTTGACTGACAGTGCTCCTTGGCCACGCTCTGGCCTCCCTGTGCACATAGGTTTCAGACGTCTCGGACGCAGACCCGCAGGCTTTGCTCCAGGCCATGAAGGTAAAGAAGCCGCTAGAGCCCTGTTCTCAGAGCCTGTGGGGGGAGAGGGGGACGTCACACGACGTTGATATTTGTGCCAAGGCTTTGTTCTTTGACTTCTCCCTTTAAGACTCGTTTCTGAGCCCTTCCTGGTGTGGGGTGGAGCTGATCCCTGAGCTGTCACCTGTCCTGGCCCCCTGAGTAGAAGTCCATTTTCTACACACACAGAGGCTCCCCCTGTGTGAGACCCAGGCCACGCACAGGCCTCTGAAGTGGGGCTGCCGCCTCCACCTCCGCCACCACCACCGCCACCACCACCTGGGGGCAGGAGGAGAAGGCTCCCCCTCTCAGTTTGTCCCTGCCCTTTCTCCTTAGTTCTCTCCCATCGCTTGCCTGTCCCCTTAGTCCAGCCATCTTTCTTGGATCAAGCACAAAGCTAACCTTGGTGATGGGATTTTCAGACGTGTATTCTGATTGGCTCATAGACCATGGCCTCACAGCACTCAGGGTGAAAACCTGAGACGTTGGTTGTCACCTTGTTCCCATCTGCCTCCCAGTCAGCAGCACCCTCCAGCCCACCTCTGGGCTCTGCGGCCCTTCTGAGTAACCCTTTGCTCCCCAGGCCGGCACTGTGCTTTTGGCTTTAGCCTGTGGGTTCTAGAGATTCAGAGTCTGTCCGCCTTCTCACCTCCGGACTCAGCTTCTCTGCTTGAGATCCCTCCCCAGGCCCATTGGCTGGGGCGCCCAGAGGGCCCTTGGCATCCTCTGAGTAGGTCATTTCTGGTGCTGACTTTGAGTCTTTTATTATGGAACCATGAACCAACCCCCCCACCCCATCCAACCGGGCTTGCATTTGGTTCAGTTGTCTTTCCCAACTCAACTTTTTTTTCTGCGGGCGCAGTCTCCGTCTTGTGACCAGAGTCCCCAGCTGCCTCGTGCAGGGCGTTTTCTAATATATTGTCCACTGAACATTGCACGACATGGAACAGCCTCCTCATCACCCCTCTGTTTCTAAGAGCAGCTTAGTGCTCTGACCCCGAGCAGGCTGAGGATCCAGAATTCCCCTTGAACTCTGCCCAAAGGGGCACTCTTTTTTTTTTTTTTTTTAATTTCATTGTGATTTGGGTGAAAGTTTACAGAGCAAATTCATCTTCCATATAGCAGTTCACATACACATTGTCTCATGACATTGACTGCAATCTCCCACAATGCAATAGCTCTCTCCCACTTCTTCCCCATAGTTACCTCTTCCCTGTGCCCTTCCCTCCATGCACTCCTGCCCCCCGAGCTGTCTCCCTGCACACACAGCCCTTCTGTTCTCCCATGATTGATCTCTCCAAGGAGTGTATCTGCCTAATGTAAACGTTCACCTCATATGCCTGTCTTTTGTTTGGCTGGAAGCCACAGGAGTGGCTTCAATTCCAGACCTGAAGGGCAGCTAGGGCCATAGTCTCAGGGGTTCCGTCAGGCTCTATCAGACCAGCAAACCTGGTCCCAAAGGGGTACTCTTGACCTTGGGTCTCTTCTCTGCTCGGATGAGGCTCCTTTGGGAGACTTGAGTCCCAGAATCCTGCAAACAAAAGCTCTGGAATCTCCTAGCCTTTGAGAGAAGCTGGTAGAAGGTGGCTCTCATCCCTGTGGGCCTGCTTCTGCAGCGTCCAGACAGTAGCTGCAGTCAGAGCTACGTACAGTTCACCAAAAAGACAACAAAATACTAACCTAAAAAAAGAGGCAGTGGCAGCACCAGTCTGAGACCATCCAGCTTCTCTGAGACCAAGCGTGTGGAGACAGTACCTCTGTCCTTGTTCCAAAACTCTGTGTGGGCCAGTCCCCCAACCTAAGTCCCCATGTGTCCCACATGAGCCAGTATCACTGCCAGCTGCCCAGTGTAAGGGTGTCAGCAGCCACCAACCAACTGCTCTTGGAACTCCTTCCTCTGCTTTGGTAGGACATGGATGACATGGATGCTGACCTCTTGGGTCTAAAGAAGTCAAGTCTAGCCTCTAGCAAAACAGCTGCAAAGGGTTCTGGGAAAGAAGAGCTATCTAGCGTTCCTAAGCCTGTTGGCAAGTCAGCAGGCAATGAGAAAGGTGAGTGCAGATCTACTGGGAAGACTGGGGACAGGCAAGATGCTTGCAGGGAGCTCTCATGCCTGTGGTTCTAGGAGGGGAGGCTGAAATAGCTAAGAGGGCGTGTGTGCCTGCACGTACCCACGGTGGGGAGGGGGGACAGGCTGGGCTTCCTCCCCTCCTAGGGCTCTTCAGTTCCTCTCAGCCTAACATGGGCAGCTCCTGGAGAAACTATATGAATTTAAGTGGGAAATTGTATGGTAGCCTTTGCATCTCCCGTCCCATGACTGTGGAGTGACTTGAGACTGGGGAGGCTGTGTGACCAGGCTCAGGAAGTAGTTTGCAGGCCACATTGCCAGAAGCCTATGTGAGAACAGGGGAGTGGAGAGTCTTTCCAGAGCTATGTCCACAGCAGACCCACGGCTTCCCAGGAGGAAGTGCATCTCATCCCAGAGGCCCCAGTTCGTGGAGTGGCCAGAGAACCTTAGCCAGCAGAGACCCAGGCCCACTACCAGGCCTTCTCTTTGGTTCCCTGCAGGAGATGCCTCTCCCACCAAGAATCTACCCCCGTCCTCTGGCAGCTTTGGGCATCAGTACAGGAAGTTTTCCATGGAAGGTACCAGAGGCCCAGAGTCACTTTCTGAGACACTTGGGTTTGGGAGGAGTAGCCTGGATAATGCTGGCTGGCTAGCTAGAGGGGTATCAGATGAGGGTGGGGCAGACAGCTGGTGCCATTGACTAGTTCCCCAGCAGTTCAGGGAGGGACTGGTTTAGTCATTTTGGCTGGAGTATTTTGGGAACTTATTTGGAAGGAATTTGAAGCCAGAAGTCAAAAGCCAGATTTTATCAATTACAAGGACAATTCCCTTTCCCTTGGGAGCTCTGGTGGCGTAGTGCCTAAGGCACTTGACTGCTAACCAGAAGGCTAGGGGTTGGCACCCACCAGCCACTCCTCGGAAAGAAGGTTGGGCAATCTACTTCCTTAGCGATACTGCCTTAGAAACCGAAGGAGGGCTTGCTGTGAATGGGATCCAACTTGATGGCAGTGGGTTTGGGGTCCCTTTCCCTTGGTGGAGGCACCAGTACTTTCCTTGCCTCCTGAGGCCTCAGGCACATTTCCCACAGGCCCTGCCGCAGGCAAGCAGGGGACACGCAGGCCGGCAGCCCCAGTGCCACTCTCCCAACTCCCCAGCCCCTTGCTGGACTTCATCTTTGTCAAAGCGCCCCAGGTCCAGGCCATCCAGCTGCTGAGGGGCTGGGTTAACAAAGTTCACTTGGAGGGATGAGCCCGGCTCGGGGCTGGCTTTTCCTGACACGGTGCCACAGTCTGACTGTGCTTTCCCTCCTCGCCATGAGCAATGGAAGACCCGTTGGCAGGACTTCTCTCAGATGACGAGGAAGGAACTGCCAAGCAACCGCCCACAACAGAGAGTAAAACGGCTTCTGACAAGAGCCCCAGCACCGTCCGAGACCAAGGTAGGAGCGGGTTTGCTTGGCACACACCTGCATCTCAGCCACGTGATCAGGGTGCACAGACCCCCTCCCCGTAAACCCGTTCAGATTTCACAGTTAAGAACAGGGAGGCTTTGCCTTGTGTCTTGTAGGCCCCTCGATTCCTCTCACTCCTGGTGACACCCCTGTCCGAAAGAAGGAAAAGCTGATGTTTGATGAAGGGGATGACCTCATGGCCTCCCTGGGGTTTGGAGACAACCCCAAAGCAGAGCGGGGGCAGACAGGAGACCAGTAAGGAGCCTTCCCTCGCTGTCCTGGAGTTGAGTCCGACTCATAGCGACCCCTCCTTGGGTTTCCAAGGTGGTGTCTCCACAGAAGTAGGCTGCCCAGTCTTCCTTCCGCCGAGTGCCTGGTGGGTTTGAACCACCGGCCTTCTGGTTAGCGGTCAAATGCCTTAGGCACTATGCCACCAGAGGCAGGAAAGCCAGAGGGGTGCACTGTGGCTGTCGGGCCCTGGCAGTCACACATGCATGTCCTGCTCCGTCCTGCAGGGAGGGGCCCCGCCCTGCTCGCTCCAAGCTAGATGAGCTGCTGGGTCGAGGCACTGCTGCCAAACTGCCAGCACGCCCAGGCGCCGGGGAGCGTCGGGAGTCCAGGTTGGCTAGGAAGCCCCAGCGGCTGCAGGGTGAGGACCTGGCGTGGGGTCCGGTGCTTTCTGCGAGCCGAGGTGGGAATGAGCATCACTGTGGGGCCCACACAGGTGCTCACAGTCACGACACACAGAGGCTTCCCGAAACGACGCTTAGCATTACCACGTCCAGCACACCACAGCGTGGCTTCATTCACCTGCCAGCTGGTGGCTGCGTATGCTGACGTGACTTGCTGAATTGGTTTCTCAGCCAGCAAACAGCTGGCCCCTCATGGTTTGCAGACTGTGTTCTGGACCAGCGTTTCTCAAAGCAACAGCCACCTGGTCCTCCTGCAGCTTCCTGGGCAGCGCCCTAAAGGATTCTGGGGACCGGGCCCCAGTGAGAGTGTTTCTCAGAGCTCCGAGGCCATGCTTGAGCACACTGTCTGAGCAGTGTCTCAGCAGCAGAGTTTCAGATGGGGCCAGAGCCCCTTTGCTGTCAAGCCCCTCACCACAGCCTCCTGCAGAGGGGCTTCACGTTCCCTGTCTGACATGCGAGCCACCTGTTCAGCTTTGCTTAAAGAGTTACAAAGGCTTTTGGTCATAGATTTCTTAATTTGCAGACAAAGAAGATACCTGGGGTGATGAGGACTTCACCTTTGGGGCCTATCAGCCTACCATGGGCTCCTCGGAGGGTTGGCAGTCTCGCCGGCAGTCAGTCAGGTAAGCTGGGCCTGCGGGGGGCATGGGGCGTGACCTCGGGGACATGCTGCTTGCCAGAAAACAGACTCCTTGTGGCCCATGGGAGGTCACAGCGTGTAAGACGTTAGCCTCTGTGAATGCTGAAGGAAGACTGAGCTTGCCTAGCCCGTCCCAGTCCCTGCATGTGTGCCTGTGACGTCACAGTTGGCTCCCCTGAGGAACATGACAGTCCGCGGGGCAGGCAAGGCCATCCACCTACAGCTGCCTCTGGAGCCATGTTCCCAGGGAGCATTGCCAGTGGGTCAGCCATGCTGCACCTCAGTGGCCTCTTCTCAGTTTGCAACAAAAAATTTAGGCAGTGGATACAATTTTCTGAATTTGGAGTTTTCCTCCAGAATATATTGTGAACTTTTTATTGGGAAGTAATTTCAAGCTTACAGAGAAGTTGCAGGCACAGTGCTAAGAACCCTCTCAGCCTCTCCCTCTGTGTAGTGGTGCACATGCTCGGATGTCTCTCCTTTCCTCGCTCCCCCGTCTGTCTATGCTCACTTGCATGGATGTCTGCACCTGGGCTCCCATCTGTCTAGTGGCATGCGCGCACAGACGTCTCCACCCGGCTCCCCCGTCTGCCTAGTGGTGCCCGCATATAGATGTTTCTTCCCAGCCCTCAGAGCTTACTGCCCTTGGTCAGTAGGGAAGGGGGGTGAAGGGCAAGCAAACGAGCGTGATCTGCCCCATTTTCCTTCGGACACATGTGCCTGTAGTGGAGACTTGGTCAAGTTCTCTGTGGATACATGTGGTCTGCAGTTCAGATGGTGAGGTCAAGATGTCTGTTTTGTGGTGCTCAGCCAAGGGCACTGGGCTCGTCACAGCTCTTCACGCCTCAGGCTGGCTTTGCAGGTCCCTGGACATCATGGTGTCCTTGGTTGGGCCTCATAGTCACCCCCCAGAAGTGAAGAAGAGGCTGGTAAGGGGGTTTTGGGATGGGCTGCCTTAGACACTCTCCTCTCTGTCTTGAAGTAGGTTCTTAGCAGAAAGTGACACAGACCCCAAGGGCGACCTGGGCTCCAGGCAGAGCACTCCCGCTGCGGCCAGCCCCGTCCACCCCCGAAAGGGAGGTGCCGACTGGCTAGGCCTCAAGGACGACGACTTTGACCTGCTGCCGCCTTCTGCCACCAGAGAGACCCGAAAGGGTGGCTCAGCGCTGTCCACGACCTCAGTGCCCCCTCCTGCCAGCCGGCACTCGGCCCCCACTGGTCTGCCCATCTCAGGGGTGGAGCTGCCCACTGAGGGTGCCAGCTCCCCTTCCAGAGCCAACCCGGCCTCCACGCCGGGAGCGTCTGTGGAGAGAGAAGAGGACGACTGGCTCAACCATGCCTTGTCTCGGAAGAAGTCCCAGGCTCTGGTCAGAGAGGGGCGGGCTGGGGCCTGCAAGGGCCTGGACTCAGCAGACGCTGCGGGCCCACCCTCCCCTGGCAGGTATGGACTTGTGCTGCTGTAGCTGGTGGAGGGAGGCCAGGCTGAGGGCAGCGAGGGCCTTTCTCGCCTTTGGCCTGAGCCAGAGGCTGGGGGTGCGCCTAGGGAGTGCCTCTCATCTCAGCCTTCCCTTTTCTTCCTGTGCACACCTGTGCCCTGACTGCCACTGGGACAAGGTGCTGAGCTGACTGGACAAGAGAAGACAGCCCCACAGGGCAAACCCAGCCCCGAGTCCAGTACCTCTGAACAGGAGCACTGCCCATGGTGCCCGGGCCAGGCAGAGAGCCTGCTGTCCGAATCATTGGTGCTTCTGCCGACCCAAGCAGAAATGAATCAGTGTTAGAGCCCCAGAGACCAGGAGGCAGCTCCCGCAGGAAGCCACAGACAGCAGTGCTGGAGACAGGACAGGAAGCGACCTTGGAGGGCGGGCAGGCCTCAGGCATCCAGAAGAAATGACAAGGCTGTTCTCTAGCCAGAGCGAAGGGGTGGTGGATGTGGTGATCTAACTCGGGCCATCCTAAGCCCTGGGGCTGGTGGGACTGTGAGGAGAGCTGTGTGATTCTGACCTGGAACCCAGGGGAGGCTGAAGTGAGAACGGAAAGGACCCTGAGAGCTGGACCAAAAACAAAAACACACTGCCGTTGAGTTAAGCGCAACTCGTAGTGACCCTTTAGGACAGAGTAGAACTGCCCCTCGGGTGTCCGAGGCTAAAAATTTTTATGGAAGTAGACTGTCTCATCTTTTTTCCTTGGAGAGGATGGCAGGCTCAAACCGCTGACCTTTTGCTTAGCTATCAGATGCTTAAACCACTATACCACCAAAGACAATGGAGAAGAGAGCCCAGAAGGGAGGTAGAAACCACAGGGGGTAGAGGAGAGAACCACCCAGGGCAGCCGGACTCACGAGGTTGGGCAGTGCCTTAGTCCAGAGCTGAGTGAGGTACCGCAGACCCAAAACGAGGCTTTGAAGTTGAACTTAACTGGTGTCTAATGTATCCCTGTGACTCCACTGTCTTCAGATGGTTAGTGTCCATGCCTGGCACAATGTGACTTTGGCGTGGCCGGGAGTTGGGGGACTTACCGTAAGGGAAGGAGGTGGCAGCCCTTAGGTCCCAGGAGCTCAGCCCTGAAGAAGACTCCCCATGACAGGGTGGTGGCAGCCGAGAGCTGGGGAAAGCAGGGCGAGGGACGGTCATGGGGCTCTGCTGTGGAGCGTGTCCTGGGCCGCCTCGTCCAGCCTCGCCTGCAGCTTCTGGCCCCTTCATCTTCCACATTGATGTCTTTCAGCCAACCGGCTGCCAGCACCCGAGGACCTCGACAGGCAGCTTCTAGCGGGAGCTCAGGACCAGCGGTGCAGGACACGCTGCCTGCCAGGCCTGGCCAGTCAGGGTGTGTCCACAGGGGGTGCAGAGGATGAGTGGGAAGCGCACGGGGTCTGCCGGGACTTAGGGGCGGCTCATGCCAGGCAGAGCGTCCTGTGCCTCCTAGCCCCACAGAGCAGTCCCCGGGTGGCACACTTGGCTAGATGCTCAACGTTAGTGGAAAGGTGGGCCCTTAGAGCCCCCCCGAGGCACCTTGGAAGACAGGCCTGGCCACCTGCTTCCGAAAGGGCACAGCCTTGAAACCCCCGTGGAGCAGTTCTGCTCTGCACACGGCATCACCGTGAGTCAGACTCGACTCAGGCGGCGACTGGCGAGGACGGCTATGACCGAGAGCTTTCTGAAGCTGGTGCCCCAGCCCTCCGCCCACTTAGCCGACCCCCTCCTCTGACAGCACTGCTAGCCACAGGGTGGCCGGTCAGCTCTGGACCCTGAAGCTTTCCTGTCTACCCCAGGCACACCCCTCCCTGCTCTCCCTCCCTGTGTCCTACACAGAACACTTCCGACTGTCACCCTGCCCATCTTCCATCCCCAGGTCCCCTGCGACTTGGAAGCAGACTGCCGTGGCGCCCCCTGCAGACGATCCAAAGAGGGGCCTGGCCCCTGGAGACCTCTCCGGTCTGTTTCTACTCTGTGTGGAGTTTAAGTCGGTCAGGAGGTGGGACTTAGGATGTCTTTAGGGCTCTGGAAGGTCAGCGAAGCTGTACTCCCCAGGGTCCGGGTCTCTTCTTTTGGGGGCCTGGAAGTTCTGCGAGGCTGCACTCCCCCAGGGTCCGGTCTTTTCTTTGGGGCCCTCACACACACTCATCTCTCTGCTATTAATTTTGCAGGACCTACACTTTCCCCCCCGAGCTCCCAAGAGCCCACAGGGTTTCCAGCACCTGCCAAGGTAAGGAGGGTAGCCAGGTAAGGAGGTCACGGGCCCATGGGACAGTTCTCCCCTGATCAGAGGCAGTGCCAACAAGCGGACTGGTCAGCCAGCCGGGAAGATTGTCCTGATGTCAGATAGCTCACCTGGCACTCCACCACCGTCTCCTCCTCTCGTAGCCTGGCCACTCACAGGCGGACCTGTGTGCTCAGCTGCTGGTGCTGAGAGAGGCTAAGAGGATGCCCTTGGGGCCGCTGGCAGTGGCTTCCTCAGAACGCAGGCTGCCATTGTCTGTTGTTTCTTCTGGAAAGCCTCGTCCCTGCCATCCTCCCAGCTCGCCACCGTCTGTTTCCCAGAGGCTGTGGCCACCCCTGACACCTGGGCCGGGGAGACCCAGGAGCTCTCTGGGAAGTGGCAGGTGATAGGCAACTCAGGAAGCAGATTGGCTGTGCATGTGGGACTCTGGGCCTGACAGAAAGGGCCAGTGGCAAGCTTCTGTCGTAGCTAAGACTGGAGACTTGGCTGAGACTGTAGGAGCTGGGAACCCCTGTTGGGGAAGTTATTTGTGGGGAGGAGGGAGGACTCACTTCCTCAGCACACCTGATGGGGGAGGCACGGTACTGCAGTAACCGTGACCTCCGCACCCTTGTCTGCCTGGTCCCTGCCCCCATCCACGGCCCCAGAGCAGGCGCAGCTCTTGGGGTTTCCTGGGAGCAGAGAGCCAAGCAGTAACTGAGCTCCGCTGGCCCCGCCTCTGCCTGACCGCAAGCATCTCTGCCACCCGTAGGCCCTGGTGCCCGAGCCCCTGCTGCAGAGCCGGCTGCTGGGCTCAGAGTCCCCCAGGCAGCTCCTGGCAGCCCAGGGGCAGCTTCGGGGCAGCACCGCCGAGCTCCAGGCTGAGCTGTTGCGGAGTCAGGCCCGCCTGACCGAGCTGGAGGCCCAGGTGAGGGGAGGGCAGGGGGGCTGGTGAGGGCCAGGTGAGACAGGCAGGGTCTCAGTGAGTGGTGGAAGGCCTTCCGGGGTGGGCAGGAGGACGTGGGCACCACCCGGCAGGGAGCACGGACGGGTGCCCGGGGCCGCCACTCCTCTGCTGTGCCCAGGTGCGGAAGCTGGAGCTGGAGCGGGCCCAGCACACACTGCTGCTGGAGGGTCTGCAGCGGCGGCACCAGGCGGACCTGGAGCTCGTGGAGAGCGCGCACAGGTACCCGCCCCTGCCGTCCGGCCCCGCCCTCACCAGCCGCCTGGCTCTGTCTCAGACAGGCCCTTCAGGGACGCCCTCTGCCCCTAGAGCCCCACAGCTTGGTGTTCTCTTGCAGGAGCCGCATCACGGCGCTCGAGGCGTCGTACCAGCAACGGGAGGAGCGGCTCCGGAGGGAGAAGGAGGAGCTGTCGGCTCGGTACCTGTCTCGCTGCCAGGAGGCCGAGCTGGCCCACACTGAGCTCTCGGCCGAGCACCAGCGGCGCCTGGCTGCTGCCGCGCAGGAGAAGGACCGGGAGATGGAGCGGCTGCGGGAGCTGCAGCGGTGAGGGGCGGGCGCGGCACGGCAAGCACACAGACCCGCAGAGACAAGCCCCGCCAGGCGGCCGACCACGGGGTCCGTCCGCCCGCCTGAACAGCCCAAGTCCAGTGGGCAGGTGGGCCCAGGAGCAGGGCTGTGCAGCGACGCGGCTGCCCTTCTCATGAGAACAGTATTAGACATCCAGAAGGCACCGGGGTCACAGGGCCCGAGCCGGCCTTCAGGGCCACGCAGGCTGCAGACACCAGTGGCATCGACCCCTTCTGTGCCCGCCCTTCCCTGATGTCACACCCCGCTCAGCTGCTTTAATTCCAGGTTCTTCTTCGGTGAAGCGCCCTTCTCTGGACAACAGATGAAATTTCCTCCCTAGAGGGTAGATGTGGCCTGGAGGCTCCAAGTCAGATCCGACAGAGGCCGGGGAAACTGAGGCAGTCCCTGAGGGAGGGGTGGCGAGGCCCCAGGAGCCCTCATGGCTCAGGCTCCCGCTTCCTGTGCCGGCCTGGCTCAGCGGGCACTCGGCCTGTCCTCAGCCCCCTCGCCTCCCGCTGCCCCCAGCCTCATCCCCACCCCTCGGCCTCTCCTCACCCTCAGGGCGTCGGTCCTGGAGATGCGCAAGGACCACGAGGACCAGGTGCAGCGGCTGAAGCTGCTGAAGGACCGAGAGATCGACGCTGTCACCAGTGCCACCTCCCACACGCGGTA